GCAGGCGGGGCTCTGGGTCCATATTTGCGCTGCTGGAGGCGGCCACCCAGCAGCTGCGCGCTGCCGGCTTGTGTCCGGAAGTTCAAGGCAGCCGCCAAGTTTCGTTCTCGTTGATTTCCTGCAGCGGGGCTTCAATTTATAAAGGAGCTCCAATCTCCAGATCCTTGTCTAAATTTGAATAGCTTCTCTCTCTCTCTCTCTCTCTCACACACACACACACACCTAACCACCCTGCCCCCACTTTCCCTCCTGATGGTCTGAGAGACTTATCCCTCCTGATAAGTCAAAGCCCCTGGATTCAACGGGAGAAATGATAGTTCTGAGGGTCTACACGTTTCTTCTGAAATTGTATCACACTGCGTTTAGCCTAAATAGGTGTATCATAAACGACACAGAATTAACCAATGCTAATCCCAGTTGCCAGTCTCAAGCCTTTATTTAGCACCCATGGGGTACACACCACCATACAAGATGAGGTTCTCAGTTCAGGTAACAAATACACATGAACAAATGCATATAATTAAATACAGTTAAAAAATAAGTCGCTCTGGAAAAGAAGCATATTAATAGTTGGTGGTCTGCTGAGGAATAAATCAAAGGAAAACCGGAGGTCTTGAGTTTTGAGGTTTAAAGAGGAAAGGAAACTAATTGGGGACAGCAAAAAGTATTTAAAGAGGTACCTTGGGGCAAGTACCAATCGATTTCCCTCATTCGTGGAGTGTAACAATGATGCAAAACCGAAGGAACAAAACAGCAACAGATTCACAGACTCCAAGAAGGGACTAGTGGTTACTAAAGGGGAGGGATTGGGTAGGGTGTGTGGGGAGGGAGGGAGAAGGTGATCGACGGGTATTATGATTGGCACATACGGTATTGGGATGGGGAAGACAGTGTAGCACAGAGAAGGCAAATAGTGACTCTGTGGCATCTACTACACTGATGGGCAATGACTGCAATGGGGGGGAACCTTCATAAGAGTGTGTATCAATAATATCTTAATAATAATAATAATATAAAAAAGAGGTACCTTGGATAGTCTTGACAAATATAGAAAGATTACAAAAGCAAGGGTGTGGGGCTGCAAAATCAGAGAAAAGGGTAGATTCTGAGGCAGCCAAGTTTTTTTTTCTGATATTCAAGCAAGAAGATGGAAGAGTATTCCTTGCCAGGCCAAAAAAGAAATCCTGAAGTGACTGAATAGTTCAGCTAGACCATGGTGGTGCAGTTGAAGGGCCCCTTCCCTACTCTGTTAATAATCTCAGCTTTTTAGTGTTCTACTCTTAAGTATGAGTAGACTGCAGAGATCACTAACTGAGGAATGCCAATAACATGACATAGTCCAAAGGAAACATACAGAGAAAACAAAGAAATAAACCTTCGAGGTGACAGAATATGCAGGAAAAGGAAAATACAGATAAGATTGCATGTATGTGTTAATATATCCACATATTATATACATATTCATACATACATACATAGTATTTTCAAAGAGATAAGGTAGTCATGAACAAAAAGATGGTATTAAAGAACATTCAGAGAAGAGGACTCTAGAAATTAAAAATATGAGATCAGAAACATAAAACACAATAGACAAATTAGAAGATTAAGTTGAAAAATCTCCTAGAAAATACAGCAACATGACAGAGTCAGAAATTAAGAGAAATAAGAAAATTAGAGAACCAATCCTGGAAGTCTAACATCTGGTTAACAGGAATTCTGTAAAGAGAGACAAATGAGGAATCATTAAAGAGGAAAGGTAGCAAACTGGGGACAGCAAAAAGAGTATTTACAGAGTATTTAAAGAGGTACCTTGGGACAAGTACCAAACGATTTCCCTCATTTGTGGAGTGTAACAACGATGTAAAACTGAAAGAACAAAACAGCAATAGACTCACAGACTCCAAGAAGGGACCAGCAGTTACCAAAGGGGAGGGGTTGGGTTGGGTGAGTGAGGAGGGAGGGAGGGAGAAGGGGATTGAGGGGTATTACGATTGGCACATATGGTATTGGGGGGATGATGGCGAAGACAGTGTAGCACAGAGAAGGCCTCAAGAAAATTTCCCTGAAATGAAGGCCAAAGTTTTTCAGACTGAAAGATTCCACCAAGTTCCTGGTACAAAGGATGAAAATGGACCCTTACCAGGAACAGAACACTGGGACAAAGATAATGCTATAAGCTTCCAGACATATAAAAAATGGTCACATTATGTGTATGAGGAACAGAATGGCCTGACTTTCAAAAGTCACCCAGGAAGCCAGAATCTTTTCAGACTTAAAAGCAGCAAGGAAACTAGCAGATACCTTCAAAACTGGGCATGGAGGCTACTCAAGAATTCTATACCCTGCCAAAATCACAATCAAATATAATGGTAAAATGGCATTTTCAGATTATTGTCTAACCCTGTCACAGAAGTAAACTCAAAATGGATCGAAGACCTGAATTAAGTCATGAAACCATAAAACTCTTCAAAAAAAACATAGGCAAAAATCTCTTGGACATAAAAATGAGCAAACTTCTTCATGAACATATTTCCCCAGGCAAGGGAAACAAAAGCAAAAATGAACAAGTGGGACTATATCAAACTGAAAAGCTGTATAGCAAAGGATACCATCAGTAGAACAAAAAGACATCCTACAGTATGGGAGAATATATTCATAAATGACAGATCCGATAAAGGGTTGACATCCAAAATATATAAAGAGCTCACATACCTCAACAAACAAAAAGCAAATAATCCAGTAAAAAACTGGGCACAGGATCTGAACAGACACTTCTCCAAAGAAGAAATTCAGATGGCCAACAGACACATGAAAAGATGCTCCACATTGCTAATGATCAGAGACATGCAAATTAAAACCACAATGAGATATCACTTCACACCAGGTAGGATGGCCAACATCCAAAACACAAACAACAACAAATGTTGGCAAGGATGTGGAGAAAGGGAAACCCTCCTACACTGCTGGTGGGAATGTAAATTAGTTCAACCATTGTGGAAAGCAGGATGGAGGTTCCTCAAAATGCTCAAAATAGAAATACCATTTGACCCAGGAATTCCACTCCTAGGAATTTACCCTAAGAATGCAGCAGCCCAGTTTGAAAAAGACGTATGTACCCCTATGTTTATTGCAGCACTGTTTACAATAGCCAAGAAATGGAAGCAACCTAAATGTCCATCAGGAGATGAATGGATAAAGAAGATGTGGTACATATACACAATGGAATATTATTCAGCCATAGGAAGAAAACAAATCCTACCATTTGCAATGACATGGATGGAGCTAGAAGGTATTAGCCTCAGTAAAATTAGCCAGGCAGAGAAAGACAAGTATCAAATGATTTCACTCATCTGTGGAGTATAGCAACAAAGAAAAAACTGAAGGAACAAAACAGTGCCAGATTCACAGAACCCAAGAATGGACTAACAGGTACCAAAGGGAAAGGGACTGGGGAGGATGGGTGGGAAGGGAGGGATAAGGGGGAAAATGGGGCATTATGATTAGCACATATAATGTGCTAATCATAATGGCTGGGGACATGGGGAAAGCAGTATATATAGAGAAGACAAGTAATGATTCTATAGCATCTTACTTCACTGATGGACATTGACTGTAATGGGGTATGTAGGGGAGAACTTCATAATAGGAGGAGTCTAGTAACCATAATGTTGTTCAATTGTACATTAACGATATTTAAGAAAAGGCATTTTCAAACATGCATGGCCTCTAAATATTTACCTATCACTTTTCCTTCTCTAAAGCTACTTGAGAACATGCTTCACCAATGTGTGGGAGTAAACCAAGGAAAAGGGAAATGACAGGATTTAACTGGAAACAGATCTGACATGAGAGACAAAGGAATCTTCAGGTCACATGGAATATAATAGCTGTGAAGCAGTATAGACTGAAGTAGATCAAAATTTCTGCACAGAATTATTTCTATACAAATCAAGTGTCTTCACTTTTAGCGCATTGCCTAAAATTCCATCTTTACTGTGAATAAGTGGATTTCTAAATTTTCCTCATCTGTGTATCTTGGCTGTTGGGCTATACAGTTTTGCTAACTAAATTTCTCAAACAATTTCAAGTTAAATTTTCACCTATTTTAATATTTTTAAGAAATTAAATTGGGTCCAAACTTAGATTTTTGTTTGAAAGGTAACTAAACTAAGCCCAGAATCAAGTTCACGGAAAAGGAAAAAGAAACAAAACCATATAAACTCTCAAAAACCAGAACTACTTTTAATTTGCTTTACTAATTACTCCTTTTTGAGCTAGTCTTTCCATCCTGGTTCCAAGAATGAGGTTCCCGATAGCCAAACATGAACCTTTGTTATGGAGAAAATCAGTTTCGACTCTTGGAGAGTCCCAGTCCTCTTTCCACTGGATAATCAAGGCTAGAAAACACTTAGCAAAGTATAGGTTTTTCCTTTTCCCCTTTTCTCTAGAAAAAAATCGCACATCATGCTATGGAGAGTCCAAGGATCTGTTTCAGACTTTGCAGCTTGGTAGAATGTTTTGTTTTTTTTTAAATGAAATTCGTGCCCAGCACAATCGCTTCTGGCCTAAATAAGCTAAGTCTAATTAGTTTCTAAGTTTCCTTTTCTTATGGCTCTATCTAGAATAAAACTATTCTTACTCCTCCAGGTTCCTATTCCCTCTTTTCACGTCTGTGTGTACTGAAGGACTTGTAGAAATGTTTCATCTCATGGTTTGCAAAGTTTCTTCCTTCCTCTTCTCACTCAATGGCTTGAAGTGACAGTGTTTCAAGAAGGCAGATACAGCTTCTCCAACTAGTGTTAAAATACTTGTAATATAAATGAAGTTAGTTTTTATATATTCCTCAGGCTTTGTTGCCCACCTTATGGCTCATAAGGGTAAGTTATTTGCCAGGAATTAAATATAAGTAAATTCTGTAAACATACAAAATTTGGCCCTTTGAGGGCATGAACAGAAGGATAATCAAAAAGCATAAGAACAGCAGAGTTCTATTGTGACAACATGTTTCTTTTAATATATAATTTACAAATAAGTTACAAATTGCTTAGTGGCATTTCATATAACATATACAATTCCATCCTATTCATGTAAAGTTGAACATCAGTAAGAATAAAGAGATACCCTGTATGTACAAAAATGCCCTTATTTTGTTCCTAGTATGTCTAAGTCACACAAATGAACCCCTGACAAGGATAAACTGAGGAATTCTCTTGATGGATCACAACCTGAATAAACTCCACTGATGACTGACAGTTCTTACGCATGGCTCTAATTTCAGCTTGATAAGCTCATTTTATCAACAGGCATTAGCTACAGATTTATAATATTTTCTTTCTACACTTATTAACCCCACACTGGCAGAGGATTTCTTTCTCAGGCATAGTCCCAGCTTCATAGCCATAATCCCATGTTAGTTCTGTTCTTGCTTTCACATACCTAGAAAGTAGGAATTAAAAATTAATCATAAATTACTCTGAATAACTACCAAAGGAACCAAACTTGATTTTATCAATTTTCATATTAACATCATTAACCATCCTAAAAAATATGCTTTATTCTCTCTCTCCAACACCCAATTAGAAACACTTTTTTATTAAGGATAACCACTTAAGTTTTATTTCAAATCTACTAAAATCCTAAGAAAGAGAAACCTGGCAGTACCCATGAGGAAGGAAGTGTATTTTGCAAACAGTGGAAACCCAGTGATGTGATGAGGTCTGTGGTGTGGTAGTTAGGGATAGTTCATCTTAAAGAAGATAGAGCACTCTATGTCACTTATCCTCTAAATTGAACTGAGTGAGACCTACCATCCTTAGCCCTTTCAGGTATTAATTCTAAGTAGAAATAAGAATTGAAATTTCAGCTGTTCAAAATTATATTGACCAGACACAGTTTGGGTTAATTGAACATTCTAGGGTACCAGATATATTAAGGGATAGAGCACATAGCTTCTTTTCATATTTTTTACTGTTATTTTTAAAGTCACAATTTCAAAATTAAGTCATGTAAAAAATATTTCCAACCTGTTGGTGAAGAATGCCACCAATGGAAAATTCCTGTCACGTGTTTCTACAAAAACATTCTGTACCAAAAGATTTGGGCAACAACTATGCTGTTAAAAAAAAAAAATTAAACACAGATGTTAGATATAGCACAAAGTTTAATGCTTTGTTCACTGACACATTAGAATCCCATTGTTTCCAATACCTCTCACTTGTTTTTGTTTCTTTCCTTTTTTTCTGCAAATATGTAAAATATCATAGCTCATTACGATTCTGTTAATAGTAGGAACCCATTCAGAAAAGCCTTTTCTGAAATTTGTAACTTGCTGGTAGAAATGCAAAGTAATACAAACCCCAATAGAAGGTAATTTGTCAATATTTATCATTATCATAAATGCATTTATCCTTTGATTCAGCAATTTCTTATCAGGGAATGTATTTTACAGATGCTTCTGCACATCTATCTGTGTGTAGCATTGTTAAATGCTTAAAAACGTTAAGCATTGTTTTTAACAGTAAAAATTTGGAAAACAACCTAAATGTCTATCTATCTAAAAAGGGCCAATTAAGTAAATATTGGTATATGCACATACTTCTATACAGCTATAAACAAAAACAAAAAGAATGAGGAGTTCTGTTTACTGACACGGAAAGATCTCCAGGGTATATTATTGTTAACTGGGAAAAAAAAGGTGCAGGGTAGTGAACATGCTATCTTTTATATAGGAGAGGGGAAGAAATAAGAACATATGTCTACATTTACTTGTATTTACATAAACACGAAAAGAATAACACGATAGTAAAAATGAGAGTGGGGCGGAGGCATGGTGAATGGGGCACAGTACTTCTCAAGGTTTTTTTAAAAATAAAACTAAGAAATTTTAAATGAAGAATATATAAAACTTGAGTTTTTACATCATAGTCAAATTGGCCCTTAGAGTGAAAGGGGACATACGTAAGCAACTGATTTCTCTGCTAAATACCTTTATTTATCCTTGTTCCAAGGCTTCTAACATACTATTTCTTCCTATTGCTACCACTCCAGTATTGTTCTGTTGCCCATTAGCTGCCATTTCCACACATTCATCTATCACCAGATCCATAAAGGGATAAAATCCCCACAATATCTCTTGGACACGTCTGTCACCATGTAATTTCAGTAACTTCCTGTCCATACAATTTTCCGGTGAGCTGTACTCATGGTGCCTACTTGGCAAGCTTAGAGCTACCCTGAAATAAAATCCCATTTGGCTGTATATACATGTGTATTCAGTATTGCTTTTTGTTTTATTTCAATTTTTAAATCATATGAATGTATTACACCTATGTAGAAAAATAGTGAAAAAAAGAAAAGCCCTGTTTTTACATTTTTCTCCACAAATAAGGCAGGGGCCCAGCTGGTGTGCTGATTGGGAGGGCTGAAATCAACCATATCCTTCTGGTGCAGCCACCATTCAAGCTAACTGACGGAAAAAGATCCCCAATCCTTCTTTAATGGCTCTTTTGACATATTTATGGCTCCTGAAATGTTTGGCAACAGTGTAAAAGTAGTCAGAGTGGAATAGAGAAAACAGTAGTTGGGTGATAGAACAAGGGAGGAGACAATTTTATTCCCTGTTAACCAAGTATTCTCCTAAGTGGGAGAAAGAAAAAAAGAGTCAATTAAGAAGATTCAACTTGCAAGGAAAAGTTCTTTAAAGATTTTCTGACTTAAGAGTATTTTCTGGTGGCAGTCAAATTAAATGTAAAATTATCACTGCATATACGTCTTAAACCATTTAAAGGTTTGAAAGAGGTTTAAGCTTACCTTAAAGGTATTAAATGGAATGCCTATAAGAATCACAAGCCATGTATGCTTTCTTTCCTTCACCTTTACTGTAAGGGAAAAGTCAAGGCTGCCCATCCCACTAATTCCACCCCTCAGATTAAGAAGAAAAAACTAAGGCTGTATACAGGGTTCAGTGTGCTGGAGCAGACTTTCCAAAGGAAGTGTGGAGGGGATCAAAGTTCTCCTCCTTCCATGACACTTCTTCACTCTTCCAGATGTGATAAGCAGGACAGAGTGGAGCCCAAAAAATAGGGGTATATACCAGGGCCTCACTCAGTTCTCTTTCAGGCGGTTCAGGCTTCCATATGGTCCAGTTTGCTGAAGACAGGAGAGAGACTACATAGGCCCTGGGACTAGCAGTTGAAAGGGAATTTTCTTCCTCCCCTGTAGGATTCATAGGACTATATATATTTTGGAAACCACTTGGGGTATTAAGAGGCAGAATAGGATAGGAGTCTAATGGGAAAGCCACAATGTAACTCCAATTCCACCCTACAAAGGAGATATGACCAATAATACAAATTACCCCTCTCTTATGAAGATGACAGGAGTCGTGTCAATTAACCTTAAAATGAGAGGAAACAAAAATACTTGTCTCTATAAATGAAAATAACTCTCATTATAAAAATCCTGAACATACACACAAACAGAAAATGACTATGGTTTGGGAATACAAAGAGAGAAAGTAAAATGCAATATTCTGATAAATGTACTGGTTTTCTGCACTAAATTACTCAAAACATACAGTAAGTAAAACATAAATACCTCCAACTGATTTTTTTGAATAGTCAGGTACATTTCTGAATAAGACCTAATGAATTATATAAGACTCAAAAGAGAAACTTATTCTATGTGTCCTATTGTTATTTTTTCGTAAATAACAAATCTTGAAAATTTTCAATAAACATAGATGATTTTCCTACTAACATTTCTTAACAGTTTTCTTAAGCAAATGTTTACTTTGTGCTAGATACTTTATATATACAATTCATTAATCCTCACAACATCCTATGAGATAGTTATTATGACCTCCATATTATAGAGATGGGAAATAAGCCATAGAGAGGTCAAGTAACATACTTAAGGTCATATAACTGATATTCTGATCCAGGTAGTCAGGCATTAAAAGTCTGTTAATCATATTTCCTCATGATTTTGTTGAGAGGCGTAGAAAAAAAATTGTTTAGAAATGTGAATCTCAGCCCATATACTCACATTAAGGAAGCGGCCCACATTTCCTTCTTTTGTGGCATCCAATAAATACACATTCCCTTTATTGAGCTTCTTTAGAGAATCAGACGAAGTATTCGCAGTTTCACTTGCCAACTCTTTATCACAACAGACCCGCTGGTTTTGACATGCTGGAGATTTTTCCTCCTGGGGCTTTTGTATTTGAATTTTAAACTCCTTTACAGTATTGTGATTAAAGGAGACAATTTTATTCCCTGTTAACCAAGTATTCTCCTAAGTGGGAGAAAGAAAAAAAGAGTCAATTAAGAAGATTCAACTTGCAAGGAAAAGTTCTTTAAAGATTTTCTGACTTAAGAGTATTTTCTGGTGGCAGTCAAATTAAATGTAAAATTATCACTGCATATACGTCTTAAACCATTTAAAGGTTTGAAAGAGGTTTAAGCTTACCTTAAAGGTATTAAATGGAATGCCTATAAGAATCACAAGCCATGTATGCTTTCTTTCCTTCACCTTTACTGTAAGGGAAAAGTCAAGGCTGCCCATCCCACTAATTCCACCCCTCAGATTAAGAAGAAAAAACTAAGGCTGTATACAGGGTTCAGTGTGCTGGAGCAGACTTTCCAAAGGAAGTGTGGAGGGGATCAAAGTTCTCCTCCTTCCATGACACTTCTTCACTCTTCCAGATGTGATAAGCAGGACAGAGTGGAGCCCAAAAAATAGGGGTATATACCAGGGCCTCACTCAGTTCTCTTTCAGGCGGTTCAGGCTTCCATATGGTCCAGTTTGCTGAAGACAGGAGAGAGACTACATAGGCCCTGGGACTAGCAGTTGAAAGGGAATTTTCTTCCTCCCCTGTAGGATTCATAGGACTATATATATTTTGGAAACCACTTGGGGTATTAAGAGGCAGAATAGGATAGGAGTCTAATGGGAAAGCCACAATGTAACTCCAATTCCACCCTACAAAGGAGATATGACCAATAATACAAATTACCCCTCTCTTATGAAGATGACAGGAGTCGTGTCAATTAACCTTAAAATGAGAGGAAACAAAAATACTTGTCTCTATAAATGAAAATAACTCTCATTATAAAAATCCTGAACATACACACAAACAGAAAATGACTATGGTTTGGGAATACAAAGAGAGAAAGTAAAATGCAATATTCTGATAAATGTACTGGTTTTCTGCACTAAATTACTCAAAACATACAGTAAGTAAAACATAAATACCTCCAACTGATTTTTTTGAATAGTCAGGTACATTTCTGAATAAGACCTAATGAATTATATAAGACTCAAAAGAGAAACTTATTCTATGTGTCCTATTGTTATTTTTTCGTAAATAACAAATCTTGAAAATTTTCAATAAACATAGATGATTTTCCTACTAACATTTCTTAACAGTTTTCTTAAGCAAATGTTTACTTTGTGCTAGATACTTTATATATACAATTCATTAATCCTCACAACATCCTATGAGATAGTTATTATGACCTCCATATTATAGAGATGGGAAATAAGCCATAGAGAGGTCAAGTAACATACTTAAGGTCATATAACTGATATTCTGATCCAGGTAGTCAGGCATTAAAAGTCTGTTAATCATATTTCCTCATGATTTTGTTGAGAGGCGTAGAAAAAAAATTGTTTAGAAATGTGAATCTCAGCCCATATACTCACATTAAGGAAGCGGCCCACATTTCCTTCTTTTGTGGCATCCAATAAATACACATTCCCTTTATTGAGCTTCTTTAGAGAATCAGACGAAGTATTCGCAGTTTCACTTGCCAACTCTTTATCACAACAGACCCGCTGGTTTTGACATGCTGGAGATTTTTCCTCCTGGGGCTTTTGTATTTGAATTTTAAACTCCTTTACAGTATTGTGATTATCCAATGTGGTTGCTTGATTACCTCTGCCCTCTGATGGAGCTTCTCTACATTTAGTTATATTTATCACATTTGATTCAATCAGCAGATTGTCTTCAGAATCTTCAACTTCGTTTGAGCTTGCATCCTCTAATAAACATGTCGGAAGGAATTGTCAGGAAATACACTTGGCTGAGCAATAGTGCTGAGATTAATAATACAAATTAAATGCTAATTGCTTTATTCATTGTTAATCCTTACAATGGTTAAGGTATATACTACTCCAATTTTACAGATGGAAACTTTGAGACTCTGAGGACTTAAGGGATTCACCTGCCCCACAACAATGAAAAATGGGGTAACAAATCCAAGTATGTCCAGCTCCAAAGCCTGCCTTTAATGAATCTACATGTCGCTTCCTGTTACTAAATTTAATCTCTACTCCTCATAAACTAACTTACCTTTTTTTCAGCTTTGGAAACTGTATGTAGGTATATTCTAAACAGCTGTAACAGAGCAATGTTTAGGGAACCTAGACCTTTAAGACACCAAAGAAAGGCTTGAGAAGACTCGTCAGTCACCTTCTACAAGTCCCCACAGCAATAACTGTATTGCTGTGGGTTTTGTACACATTAGTGTTTAATGTTTTTGTTAGATGTCCATTCAATAATTACACTTTCACAAACAATAATACTTTAGAAGATGAACTGCTTAGGCACTTTTCTTATTCAATAATGGAAATATTCTTTTGAGAATATTCACAAGTATCAATGCATGCCAAATAGAAAAAAATAAAATCATTTATTTTTAAAGTCACTCATGCCACTTAATTCTCAGTGTTGCAGAGAAATTATATTTCTCTAAAATTAATATTCCTGATTTATTCATTCTTGTTACTGGCTGGTTGTTCCTACATGTACTATTTTAATCCTGGATAAGCTGTAAGCCATAACTGTACATAACTGATTTTTGTAGTGCCTGTTCTACATGTACAAGGTAGTGGTCAATGAAAATTACAAAGGAACCAAAAGCAATAGTACTCATATGGCTCACATGGAGTAAATGGAGAAGGAATCAGAATATGTCATCACAAAATATGCCTTTCTGACATAGAATTATTTTGAGCTAAGGGCAATTAAACAGCAAATGCATGAAAAGCCATGAAAAGCTCTCTGCCCTCTCCCTACCTGTCTAGAAGCAGGACATAAATTTACAAGATATCATTCATCCCACCAGGAAGGACCAAAGTTAGCCACTGGAGACAATTTTAGACCTTTTATCAGCCTGGAGGCTGAACCAGAGGAATCTACATAATGAACTTCACCAACTAGCCTTTAACTACCATTGAATTCCCACAGATGTGCCTCCCCAGAATTTGCCACCCCTAGTGACTCAAGGTCCTTTTCCTCTATCTTGTTGCTAAGAATTTATTGTTCTTTGGATGAGATGCTAAGTTTGAGTTCCAAGGCACCTCTCTGAGTTTCTCATCTCAGTACTCCCAGGTGGTTACATGTATGATGTAATATGTGATAATAAACTACATGTATGATGTAATATGTGATAATAAACTTCATTTCTCTCTTGTCAATCTGTCTTTTGTCACTTTCATTTACAGAGCCCAGGCTGGACAACCTAACATGAATAGAAGAAATTTTCCTTCCCTATGATGGTGAAATAATTAAAACACATCCCTTTTGTGACAAACTTTTTTTGTCAAAGAGCTGCCTTGCCTTCCCCAATCTCCATCCTTTAAGACCAGGAGGGGAGTTGGGGATGCAGATGCAAATGAGCTGAAAGGGAGAAAGGCAATGGCTGGTCAGTTCTTCAAAAAGAGTCCTCTCTCAGTAATGTCTCCCCATTGAAATGCAAAAGTACCAAAGCCCAGGTTTGTCAGACTGTAATATTAACTATGGCAGGTCTGGTAACACTGAAAGAGACAAACACTCAGGATAGCAACAGTTTCACTTCCTGTTGAGTATCCCTGCAGCAGCATGGGCTGGAACACTGCAGGAGAATGGTGTGTCTTTATTTTTAAAGGAGCCCCAAATAAAGAGTAATAAAGAGTTAGGAAGTAGTTGTTTTGGACAATGCTTCCAAAGCCATAGATGACTATGTGGACTCACTCCACTCCGCTACTTCCTTCCAGGCATCAGGTCACTGTTGGCATCTAGACCAGGGGTCGGCAAACTTCTCTAAGAGGCCTAAGTATAAATATTTTAAGCTTTATGGGCTATATGATCTCTGACTACTCAGCTCTGCTGGTGTAGTATGAAAATAGAGTCAACATATAAATGAGTTTGGCTATGTTCCAATAAAAGTTTATTTATGGACACTGAAATTACAATTCATACAATTTTCAAGTATCATTAATACTATTAAACTTTTCATTTTTTTCCAGTTATTTAAAAAGGTAAAAATCACCTTAGCTCATCATCCATAGATAGTGGACCAGATTTGGCCCACAAACCCATAGTCTGTCAACCTCGGATCTACAGACTATAACTTATAAAGAATGCAGCATGTGTGTTATGATGGAGTCTGAGAAAATAAGTTATAGGTATTGAGCAAGGAAGACAAAAAGGCAGAAATGGCAGGCAATCACAGAGTGAAAGAGAGCTTACGTTTCATTTCCTTGGCTTTACGGTTCAGATATACTTGGATTGGTTTAAATCCATCATCATCTTCTGAGGTGACAGACTCTGAGGAAGCAAACTCCTTAAAAGAAAACAAATAAGATGCCTTTATTTTCTAGGTCAGTAAAAAGGGAACAGTTAATCCTCTTTCCAGTGTCAATCTTCAGAGGTTGTAGCTTTAGATTAGTTTTGAAAGCCTCAAAGCTAGTATCATGAGTCTTTGGCATGCTGGAGCCTTTTTGGTTATGTTTCACTTCTAGGCACTTTAGTAAGCCACAGCTATAAAGACTATAATGACTGTCAAGACATTCTTTAAACACTGAAATTCAAAATAATATTCAAATATATCTGCCTGTATCCCTTAATTCTGATATTAGATCATAAATTTGGTTTCAACTACAAGATGTGCAAAGATAAAAACACTCTGGCTAGTTTCCAGTTCAAAAAAAAAAAAGGTTAAAGGAGTTGCCCTGATGCATTGTAGACACTGCAGCCATTTTATTTTATTTTTCATTTTACTTATTAAGGTATCATTGATATATAATCTTATGAAGGTTTCACATGAGCACCATTGTGGCTACTACATTCAATAAGTATATTATTGAGTCCCTCACAACCCCACTGCAGTCACTGTCCATCAACATAGTAAGAACTACAGTCATTTTAAATAGTAATGAGAACTTTTAATGCTTAGTACAATGCTTGGCACTCAACTAACTGTTCAATAAATGTTGATCATTGTTATTCACGTAAATGGTCAGAATTTTTTGAGCACTTAGTTGGGTGTCAAGCATTGTATTACACAAAATTTCTGATGTTTATCTCGTATACTCCTCTTAATTTTGAGACAGATACTATTATCCTCATTTTACAGATAAATGTAGACATGGAGATGTCACCCAGGTAGTAAGCAACTAAGCTGGATATCAAACAAAGACCTATGTGACCACACGGCCCAGTCTTTTCATAATTATGTAATGCCAAGGAGGTGTCTAAGATATGTTACTAGGCAGAGGGCAAATATTTGCATACCACCTAAGGTGGTTTTTATTTTTCATCAACAAGCCTACTGTGAATTACCATTATACCTCCCTCTGTTCTTTTCCCTTCACATTCCTCTGCTTCTAAGTTACAGTCTCTGATTAGTAATACTCAGCATAATTCAGACTGAAAAATATGCCTTCGTTAGGTAAAATGTTGCTTTCTGGATGATCCTTTCATTAGGCTGCATCTCTTCTTTCTCCTGTATCTCAGAACCTTTCTCTTACTATGTACCACCGTAAGTGTTCGAACTTCTACAAATTCCCAGAACTGGACAGTTCTCGGTCTCAGTGGAGCACACTCGTCAGATCATGATGAACATTCTCCTTATATATCTAAGTTGGGAACATGCCAACCACCATGGAGGATACTAAATAAATAAAACATGGTCCTAATACTTCAATGGTATGCCTATTATAAAACAACAAAGAAATCTTACACATTATTAATTAAAACAAACAATGTGAACTACTAAGTAAAAGAAAGATGAGATAATGTTCTCAGAGGGGCCCCATCTACATTTTGCACTTACCATCTTTTTCCCATTGTGCTGAATAATGGCAGTCTTGGCTTTATGACTTTTAATGACTGAGTGAGGCTGAATTCTTGAAATACTGTTACATTTCATTTCTCTGAAAAGCATGAAAAGCTATTCTTAGATCACTAAAAATTATCTTTATTGGACCTTTAAATAAAGAAGCATCATTATTACTTAAATATTCATTAGATATTAATACAATAACATCTATGCCCATCTTGCCCTAGATGAAGTAAATATAACCATATTTTAAAGTCATTTTTGAAGTATGTTGAGAAAAATGAAGACAACTTATGAAAAATAAAACCTGAAAATAAAACTGTTTTAGAAAATAAAAAGAATTGCAAAAGTTACAACATCCACAAAGAACCTGACTGAAGTCATAAGGTTTTTAAAGAAAAAATTCCAGAAATGGAACACTAAGGAAATAAATTATGTGGGCTAGATTTTAAAATCTAAGTATCCTAGATTTCTCAGTGTTAAATTTCCAACTGTGAAGCAAGTTGCTATATATATATATATATAAATGGGAGAGACACAGGAGTAGAGGGAAAAGTAAGAAAGAGAAAGACTGGGTTCTTAAGATCTTACTCACAGGACAGGTTTGTTAGTATAATTACTGAACTCTGGAGGATGTTCTTTATTCTCAGCACTTCTAGGAGGTGTTTCCAATTCTAATGAGATTATTTCAACCTCACAATCTGCAACTTCTATTTTTCTCTTTTTTGAAATAATATTTTTCATAGTCTCTTCTTTTCCATTTTCATAAACAGCATCAGGTTTCTTAGTGTTAGATCTGCTTAGTAATCTTCCTGCAAGAAAAAAGTAAACAAGTTTAATAAGACAAAAGGGAACATAACTGCTAAGCAACCAACAGGACTCTCTATTACTAAAGAACCCTGTAAAGTATACCTTTATTACTAGGATGAAGATAAACACACGAAGTCATCCAGAAAATTACTACAAGGAATAATAAATAAAACACCAATAAGATTTTCATATCTTCCAGTATATGAAAAAATGTAGGGAATCTAAAGACTTGGGAGAAAAAGATGGCAGACTATGGGAGGAGGACAAAAATGGCAGCATGAGAGGTGAGACAGAGGCTTCCATCTAAAACCACATATAATATGAAAATGCAATTAATACAAGGAAAGAGGAAAGAGGAAAGAGGGCTGCACCAGACTCTGTGAGAATAAACCTCACAGAACATGGTAACATATCAAAGCCATGGCCCGAAGGACCCAAGCCCTTCCCCCACCCCAGCTCACCAGAGAGAGGAAGAGAAACAGAGCTGGAAGGGAGTGGAGGCCTGGGACTGCTGAGCACCTAGCTCTGGAGATCTGCTCTAGGAGCACACACCTACATTACATGGTGCTCTCATGATCAGTGGAGTTAGAAAGCTAAGACAGGCAGAATACCTTGAGAGACTGAGATTCTAGGCGCTTGAGGAAAACAGGGATCCAAATCTGGCTGCTCTGGGACAAAAGAAAGGTGAGCAGTCTGAGAGACTTCCTAAAAGTGAGAAGACAGCTAAAGGGGCAAGGATTGCACAAAGCTTACTGCTTAGGAGAAAGGACAGGTAGACAAAATTGTCCGGGTGCACTATGCAGAGCAGGTTGGGAACTTTCACGATCTTAGGCGCTCCAGCCCCTGGCTGGCTATGCAGCTCCAAGGCCCACTCTCCATGATATGCAGCCTGCTGTGCCTTCCTCCCGCACAGCCCGCACCTGGCTCGCAAACTGGCAAACCCTTCCTCAGTGTTAGGCCAGCCAGAAGGAAGTGCCGACGAGAGTAGCTACAAACACAAAGCACAGAGGCTTATACCTGTGTTCTTTGCCCAATGGTTCTGGCAGTGGGCACAGGCATGGCAGCCAGAAAGCAGAAAACAGCTCCTTCCTCCCCTGAGGTATGAACACCACTCCCCTGCAACCCCCAACATTGCTCCAGGGGCTGAGCAACACAAGAGAGTAGAGCTTTTGGGCACTAGAGGGCGCCACATACAAATATGAAACATCAAAGGAATCTGGTTCAAAACAAATTATAAATACACCAAAGAAAGATTCAAATGAAATCAACCTCATGAATCTTCCTGAAAGAGATTCCAAAATAAAAATCATAATCATGCTCATGGAAGTAGAGAAAAATATTCAAGAACTCAGGAATGAATTCTGGTCGGCGATCCAATCATCACAGAATACAGTATCAGAAATGAAACATACAATGGAAGGATTTAATAGCAGATTAGATACAGTGAAGGAGATGATAAATGAAACAAAAATTAGAGAAGATGAATACAAAGGAACAGAGGCACAGAGAGAAACCTGTAAGGTTACAGGTCAGAAGGGAGGGCATGATATATTTAATGCAATGAAGCAGAAGGGCCTCAAACCAAGAATAAGGTTTTTAAAGAAAAAATTCCAGAAATGGAACACTAAGGAAATAAATTATGTGGGCTAGATTTTAAAATCTAAGTATCCTAGATTTCTCAGTGTTAAATTTCCAACTGTGAAGCAAGTTGCTATATATATATATATATATAAATGGGAGAGACACAGGAGTAGAGGGAAAAGTAAGAAAGAGAAAGACTGGGTTCTTAAGATCTTACTCACAGGACAGGTTTGTTAGTATAATTACTGAACTCTGGAGGATGTTCTTTATTCTCAGCACTTCTAGGAGGTGTTTCCAATTCTAATGAGATTATTTCAACCTCACAATCTGCAACTTCTATTTTTCTCTTTTTTGAAATAATATTTTTCATAGTCTCTTCTTTTCCATTTTCATAAACAGCATCAGGTTTCTTAGTGTTAGATCTGCTTAGTAATCTTCCTGCAAGAAAAAAGTAAACAAGTTTAATAAGACAAAAGGGAACATAACTGCTAAGCAACCAACAGGACTCTCTATTACTAAAGAACCCTGTAAAGTATACCTTTATTACTAGGATGAAGATAAACACACGAAGTCATCCAGAAAATTACTACAAGGAATAATAAATAAAACACCAATAAGATTTTCATATCTTCCAGTATATGAAAAAATGTAGGGAATCTAAAGACTTGGGAGAAAAAGATGGCAGACTATGGGAGGAGGACAAAAATGGCAGCATGAGAGGTGAGACAGAGGCTTCCATCTAAAACCACATATAATATGAAAATGCAATTAATACAAGGAAAGAGGAAAGAGGAAAGAGGGCTGCACCAGACTCTGTGAGAATAAACCTCACAGAACATGGTAACATATCAAAGCCATGGCCCGAAGGACCCAAGCCCTTCCCCCACCCCAGCTCACCAGAGAGAGGAAGAGAAACAGAGCTGGAAGGGAGTGGAGGCCTGGGACTGCTGAGCACCTAGCTCTGGAGATCTGCTCTAGGAGCACACACCTACATTACATGGTGCTCTCATGATCAGTGGAGTTAGAAAGCTAAGACAGGCAGAATACCTTGAGAGACTGAGATTCTAGGCGCTTGAGGAAAACAGGGATCCAAATCTGGCTGCTCTGGGACAAAAGAAAGGTGAGCAGTCTGAGAGACTTCCTAAAAGTGAGAAGACAGCTAAAGGGGCAAGGATTGCACAAAGCTTACTGCTTAGGAGAAAGGACAGGTAGACAAAATTGTCCGGGTGCACTATGCAGAGCAGGTTGGGAACTTTCACGATCTTAGGCGCTCCAGCCCCTGGCTGGCTATGCAGCTCCAAGGCCCACTCTCCATGATATGCAGCCTGCTGTGCCTTCCTCCCGCACAGCCCGCACCTGGCTCGCAAACTGGCAAACCCTTCCTCAGTGTTAGGCCAGCCAGAAGGAAGTGCCGACGAGAGTAGCTACAAACACAAAGCACAGAGGCTTATACCTGTGTTCTTTGCCCAATGGTTCTGGCAGTGGGCACAGGCATGGCAGCCAGAAAGCAGAAAACAGCTCCTTCCTCCCCTGAGGTATGAACACCACTCCCCTGCAACCCCCAACATTGCTCCAGGGGCTGAGCAACACAAGAGAGTAGAGCTTTTGGGCACTAGAGGGCGCCACATACAAATATGAAACATCAAAGGAATCTGGTTCAAAACAAATTATAAATACACCAAAGAAAGATTCAAATGAAATCAACCTCATGAATCTTCCTGAAAGAGATTCCAAAATAAAAATCATAATCATGCTCATGGAAGTAGAGAAAAATATTCAAGAACTCAGGAATGAATTCTGGTCGGCGATCCAATCATCACAGAATACAGTATCAGAAATGAAACATACAATGGAAGGATTTAATAGCAGATTAGATACAGTGAAGGAGATGATAAATGAAACAAAAATTAGAGAAGATGAATACAAAGGAACAGAGGCACAGAGAGAAACCTGTAAGGTTACAGGTCAGAAGGGAGGGCATGATATATTTAATGCAATGAAGCAGAAGGGCCTCAAACCAAGAATACTTTATCCAGCAAGATTATCATTTAAATTTGAAGGAGGGATTAAACAATTTCCAGATAAGCTAAAGCTGAGAGAATTCACCTCCCACATACCGACTCTACAGTGTATTTTGGAGGGACTGCTATAGATGGAAGTGTTCCTAAGGTTTAATAGTTATCACCAGAGGTAATAAAACCACACTAAAGGAAGCAGAACAGTTAATTACTAAACAAATGAAAACTTAAATCAACAACCCCCAAAGTCAGTCAAGGGATAGATAAAGAGTACAGAACATTGTAACTAATATATGAAGAATGGAGAAGGAAGAAAAAGGAGGACAAAAAAAGAACCTTTATACTGTGTTTGTAATGGCATACTAAGTGAGTTAAGTTAGACTCTTAGACAGTAAGGAAGTTAACCTTGAACCTTTGGTAAATGAAACTAAAGCCTGCAATGGCAATAAATACATACCTATCGATAAACACCAGAAATGTAAAGGGTCTTAATGCATCAATCAAAAGACATAGAGTCACTGAATGGAAAAAAAACAAGACCCATCTATTAAGGATACCAAAAAAAAAAAAATCCCCTGGACACACACAAAAAAACAAGACCTGTCTATATGCTGCCTACAAGAGACTCACTGCAAACCCAAAGACATACTGGGTTGTGAAGGGATGGGAAAAGATATTTCATGCAACTAATAGGGAGCAAACAGCAGGAGCTGTAGTACTTATATCAGACAAAAAAGACTTCAAAACAAAAAGACAGTCACAAGAGACAAAGGACATTACATAATGATAAAGGGGTCAATCTAACAAGATATAAAACCATTATAAATATCTATGCACCCAACACAGGAGCACCTATGTATGTGAAACAAATACTAACAGAATTAAACGTGGAAATACAATGCAATGCATTCATTCTAAGAGACTTCAACACATCAGACACTCCAAAGGACAGATCAACCAGACAGAAAATAAGTAAAGATATAGAGGCACTGAACAACACATTAGAACAGCTGGACCTAACAGACATCTATAGAACACTTCACCCAAAAGCAGCAGAATACACATTCTTCTCAAGTGCACATGGAACATTCTCAAGAACAGATCATATAAATCCTTGGTAAATTAAAAAAGATTGAAATTGTACCAATCAGTTTCTCAGACTACAAAGATATGAACCTAGAAATAAATTACGCAAAGAAAATGAAAAATCCCACAAACACATGGAGGCTTCACAACATGCTCCTAAATAACCAATGGATCAATGACCAAATAAAAACAGAGATCAAGCAATATATGGAGACAAATGACAACAATAATTCAACACTACAAAATCTGTGGGATGCAGTGAAGGCCGTGCTAAGAGGAAAGTATATTGCAATACAGGTCTACCTCAGGAAAGAAGAACATTCCCATATGAACAGTCTAAACTCACGATTAACGAAACTAGAAAAAGAACAAATGAGGCCCAAAGTCAGTAGAAGGACAGACAATTAGAGCATAAATAAATAAAATTAAGAAGAATAAAAGAATCAATGAAAGCAGGAGCTGGGTTTTGAGAAAATAAACAAAATAGATAAAATTGATTGGCAGACTTATCAAGAAAAAAGGAAAGTCTACATAATAAACAGAATCAGAAATGAGAGAGGAAAAATTGCTACAAACAACACAGAAATACAGAATTATTAGAGAATACTACGCAAAACTGTATGGTAACAAACTGAATAACCTAGAAGAAATGGACAACCTTCTAGAAAAATATAACCTTCCAAGGCTGACCCAGAAAGAAACAGAAAATCTGAACAGCCCAATTACCAGCAACGAAATTGAACTGGTAATCAAAAAACTACCTAAGAATCAAACTCCTGGAAAAGATGGCTTCACTGCTGGATTTTATCAAACATTTAGTGAAGACCTAACACCCATTCTCCTTAAAGTTTTCCAAAATGTAGAAGAGGGGGGAATACTTCCAAACTCATTCTACGAGGCCAACACCACAGTAATACCAAAACCAGGCAAAGACACCACAAAAAAAGAAAATTAGAGACCAATATCCCTGACGAACATAGATGCAAAAAACCTCAACAAAATATTAGCAAACCGAATTCAAAAATATATAAAAAAAATCATCCACCATGATCAAGTAGGATTTATTACAGGGATGGAAGGACAGCACAATATTAGAAAATCCACCAACATCATACACATGAAGAAAAAGGAGAACCACATAATCATTTCCATCAATGCTGAAAAAGCATTTGACAAAATTCAACATATTCATGATAAGAAATCTCAACAAAATGGGTATAGAGGGCAAGTACCTCAACATAACAAAGGCGATATATGACAAACCCATAGCCAACACCATTATTAACAGCAAGAAGTTGAAAACCTTTCCTTTAAGATTGGGGATGCCCACTCTCTCCACTTTCATTCAACATAGTTCTGGAGGTCCTCGCCACAGCAATTAGACAACACAAAGAAATAAAGGGCATCCAGATTGGTAAGTAAGAAGTTAAACCATCACTGTTTGCAGATGACATGATATTGTACATGGAAAAACCCTAAAGACTTCACTCCAAAACTACTAGATCTAATGTTTGAATTCAGCAAACTTGCAGGATACAAGATTAATACACAGAAATCTGTTGCATTCCTATACACTAATGATGAACTAGGAGAAGGAGAAATCAGAAAAAGTTCCATTCACAATTGCATCAAAAGAATAAAATACCAAGGAATAAACCTAACCAAGGAAGTGAAAGACCTATACTCTAAAAACTACAAGACACTCATGAGAGAAATTAAAGAAGATACCAATAAATGGAAACACATCCCATGCTCATGGATAGGAAGAATTAATATTGTTAAAATGGCCATGCTACCTAAAGCAATCTACACATTCAATGCAATTCCTATCAAAATACCAAAAGCATTCTTCAATGATCTAGAGCAAATCATTTAAAAATTCATATGGAACCATAAAAGATCCCAAATAGCCAAAGCAATCCTGAGAAGGAAGAATAAAGCTGGGGGGATTTTGCTCCCCAATTTCAAGCTCTATTACAAAGCCACAGTAATCAAGACAATTTGGTACTGGCACAAGAACAGAACAACAGACCAATGGAACAGACTAGAGAGCCCAGATATAACCCAAGAATTTATGGTTAATTAATATATGATAAAGGAGCCATGGACATACAATAGGGAAATGACAGCTACTTCAACAACTGATGTTGGCAAAACTGGACAGCTATATGTAAGAGAATGAAATTGGACTATTTTTTAACCTCATACACAAAAGTGAACTCGAAATGGATCAAAGACCTGAATGTAATTTATGAAACCATAAAACTCTTAGAAGACAACATAGGCAAAAATTTCCTGAATATATACATGAGTAACTTCTTCCTGAACAAATCT